TTTTAGGGGCGACTTAACAACCAGACAGCTCGACAAAGTCAACATTTCCTACTACATTACTTGGATGTGTTTGATAAAAAAAATGTTTTGCTAGAAAATGTTATTTTAAAATAAATAAGTTTTTTTACTATTTGATAAATAAGTAAAAATATTGTTTCATAATTTATATGCCTAGCGAAATATTACGTGAGTAGATAAAGTGGAGACTGTAGAGTAGGTAAGGGATTAAAAGCAGAAGCGAATCTAGAATTTTTTGAACATGGATGCATCAAGAAAAATGTTAAGTGGGAATTAATCTGAACATAGATGCACAAAGAAAAAGTATTAAGTGAGAATTGATTCTTAATCCTTAAGGTCAAAAACTCAACATTTAATCATGTGGACCAGATAGATTTCTTATAGTATGAGTGTTAGAATATAATAATATACAAATTTTAGAAAATATATACATAAAATATCTAGTTTTATGAAGAGACCACGGGTTTCGATGCCCTGTTTTTTACTTTTAGATTCACCATTGTTTAAAATTGTCGAGGATGGGATAGTCGACGTGAAAGTTGAGAGTGTTAATAGAAAGGCAAAAGGGTCTGGTGGACCCTTGTACTTGTATGACTTGTATTGTGAACCCTTCTACTTGCTCTTTTGTCATCTGAACCCCTGAACTTATTGAAACACAATATTTTAAACACTATTTTGACTTGGCATCTTATGTGACAACTAATACCAAAGTGCGCTTAACACACACCTATTAGGAGCGTGAAACCCATGGAAAAGGGTCTAACAGTCACACTAGGGCTTAATATAGCCATCATCTAATTCCTAGTTGGATCTAACACCATTGTTGGACAAAATTTGAGGTTTTCTTGGCCTTTTTTTTTAAAAAAAAAAATCTTTTTCCCAAATTTCTTCTCTATTGTTTATTGTCATTTTACTGCTCTCTTTATTATGAAACACACCATGAAAAACAAACACTACTACCAAAACATCTTACACTAACATTAAGCATAAAACAAAGCAAAATTTTCAATTTATTTCAACAAAATCAATGTAATCAACTAAAATTCAAAATCAAACAAAGACACAAATAGAAGATCAAATCCAGATTAAACAACAAATAAATTTGAAAATAAATTGAAAAACCTACATAGATAAGTTGAAAATCAAACAAAAACAACAAAAAAACTCAAATAATGTTCGACATTAACCCATGTTTCAGTCATCCACCACTCAAATGACCCTTATTTTAGATCCAAGCCAAACACAAACTTACTGCCTTTCTCTCGTCTTCTTCACCTTCTCCGACCAAAACGCCTTCATTCTCACTGCCTCCGACAAGCTTCAACCAGCAGTTATAAGTGAGAACCAACAACAACAACAAAAATACCAAACCAACTCCGCCAATAAGCCTCGACCTTCCTAACCCGCTAGCCCCGAGCTCCGGCGAGATTGTGAACAACTAGAAACAATTAGACCACCCAACAGACCCCCACTCTTCCATAGGCCACCGGTCACCACCAAACCCCAATCCAATAAAATTCAAAATCAACTCCGGACTCTGACAAGATTGTAAACAATCATAAATCATGCCAACATTTTTTACTTCAATGGAAAGAGTAGAAGAAGTAGGAAAAAAGAAAAGGTAAGGAAGATGAGAAGAAGGGATGAAGTGAAATTGTGGGGATGAAGACAATTATAGCAAAAAGAAATAAAAATTGGAAAGAAAAGTGTTGCTACATTAATCTAATATAATAAAAGAAAAAATGACATGGTGTGATTATATATATGTGTGTCATTTATAATCATACGTGTCATTTTATAATTATTTTTAAAATTATGTGTCGGGCGTTTGTGATACACACATAATTGAATAGTAAAAAACGTGTTTAAAATATTGTGTTTCGATGGGTTCAGGGGTTCAATTGACAAAGGAGTAAGTAGAAGGATTCACAATATAAACTTATACAGGTATAAGGGTCCACCAAACCCTTTTGCCTAATAGAAATACGTCCGGAGATAATAAACTTGAAACAAAGATAAGTTTGGAGACAATGAACTTGATGAGTCACTTCATTACGTGACTTATTTTTCATTTTATTTTTTTTTGAAAAAAAGACATTTTTTCAAAAAAAATTGATTAATCACATGAAAAGATGTCATATCCAGTAGGATATGTTTGGTAAGAAGGAAAATGTCTTCTTGAAAATATTTTTATTAGAAAATAAGTGAATTTTTTATTTATTTTAGGGGAAATTAGTTCGATAAGCAAACATATACTAGTTAATTAGCTAATATAATTATAATTTGAATTAATTACCATCTGCAACTTCTTTTTAGCTATGATTACAATGCACCTCTCTCCTCTCGTATACATATACAAATACAAATTATATATATACATTTATATAACAGATATAGAAATACAATTCATCTCTCTCTACTCTCTGTTCTCTCTTGCCTGCCTCTCTCCTCCATTTCTCAATCTCGCTCGCCTCTCTCCTCCCTCCAGTTTTGCTCGCCAGATATACAAATATATATGTATACTAGTTAAATTTATACAATTATCTGATAGATATAAATATACAATTTGACAGATATACGAATAAAATTCACCTCTCTACCCTCTCTCGCTCGCCTGTTTCCTCCCTCTCCCAATCCTCCTCTCTCCCCCCTCTAACATGTAGCTATGAATCCTAATTAGCAAACTACAGCTATGAAGCCTAATTAAATTATCCTTAATAGCTATTTGTGAAATGTCCCTATTTTATAGTGTTTGATAAGTAAATAAAAAAAATATATATACTCTATATGGATGGGTTGGGTTGGGGTAGGGAGTAAAAATATAGGGTGGTGGGGGTGGGACGTGGAGATTTGTTATAAAAAGAAGGCTTATTTTCACTATATTTTTTTTAAAAAAAAATACTTTACTCGTTTATATAGAAAAACTAGATAATGTTGCCTGTGCTATGCACGGACCCAATAATATAAATGGTATATTTTGGGGCTAATAACTGAGTTTTTGAAGCGATTGTTTGCGTGGATAAAGGAATAAGTTTTTTTATCACAAACATGTACTTTCTTTGACGTTATTTAAGGCATAATAAGACTACCCACATACAATATTTTTGAAATATTTTATGTTGTCAATTATCATGATTTATAGTATTTTTATGATAGATTCACTTCAAGAATCAGTGGAAATTTTTGTATTTTTTTTCAAAACATATTTTATGTTGTCAATTATCATGATTTATAGTAGTTTTAAGCAATTTTTAAATATAAAAAAAATAAGACAAATAAATTAAAATGGACCCAATATATGTTATTTTTGTTGTCTCAATTTATGTGACATGAATGAAATTTGGAGGGTCATCCAAATTTTCATATACTTTTTAAAAAATGTTTGAAGTTATTAATTATTGTGATTTATAATATTTTTATGTAACTTTGAAATAATGTACATTACTGGTCACTTTGTCCTAATTTATGTGATATGGATAAAATTACAAAATTAACCCTTTTAAAATGTCTTTCGGATACTTTAAGTTGTTAATTATTATTATTTATAATACTTTTTTGGTAATATTAAAATGATATGTGTTATTTTTTCTATCCCAATATATGTGAGCCTGATAAATTTTGAGAGTCAACCTATGTTATTATATAGCTTTTAAATATTTTAAATTGGTAATTATTGTAATTTTTAATGCTTTTTAAGTCATTTGTAAATGATATATTTTGCTTCCTTGATTGAGACTTTTCCATTTGTGAGATATATATATATATATATATATATACACACATAACGTGCTATGCACGGGCCCAATAATATAAATGGTATGTTTTGGGGCTAATAACCGAGTTTTTGAAGCGATTGTTTGCGTGGATAAAGGAAAAGTTTTTTTATCACAAACCTGTACTTTCTTTGACGCTATTTAAGGCATAATAAGACTACTCACATACAACATTTTTGAAATATTTTATGTTGTCAATTATCATGATTTACAGTATTTTTACAATAGATTCACTTCAAGAATCAGTGAAATTTTTTGTATTTTTTTTCAAAACTTATTTTATGTTGTCAATTATCATGATTTATAGTATTTTTACGTAATTTTTAAATATAAAAAAAATAAGACAAATAAATTAAAATGGACCCAATATATGTTATTTTTGTTGTCTCAATTTATGTGACACAAATGAAATTTGGAGAGTCATCCAAATTTTCATATTTTTTTTAAAAAATGTTTGAAGTTATTAATTATTGTGATTTATAATAGTTTTATGTAACTTTGAAATAATGTACATTACTGGTCACTTTGTCATAATTTATGTGATATGGATAAAATTACAAAATTAACCCTTTTAAAATGTCTTTCAGATATTTTAAGTTGTTAATTATTATTATTTATAATACTTTTTTGGTAATATTAAAATGATATGTGTTATTTTTTCTGTCCCAATATATGTGAGCCTGATAGAATTTTGAGAGTCAACCTATTTTATTATATAACTTTTAAATATTTTAAAGCTTTTTAAGTCATTTGTAAATGATATATGTTGTTTCCTTGATTGAGACTTTTCCATTTGTGATATATATATATTCTATATTATTTTAAAAGGAAGTTTATGCCCAAGTTGTACTATATAATAAATATAATATATAATATTCAAGAAAGTCCCAATCTTGAATATTATATATTATAGTTGAGTATAAACTTCCTTTTAAAAGTTCCACAAGTATAATATATAATATTCAAGATTGAGAAAAGTCTCAATCTTGAATATTATATATTATACTTGTGTCTAAACTCTCTTTTATAATATTGTATAATATAATAATTCATTTTACTCGTTTATATGAAGCTTATTTTTTAAAAATAAATATTTTCTAAAATATTATTCCTAAATAAGCCTAAAAAAAATATTTAAAACAAAATTTCCCTAATTGAAACAAGCACAAGAAGGGGTGCCGAAACAACATTCGCTGCATTTAAACACGTGAAAGTCTGAAAGACGTCTATCTTGTCGTCAAGTAATTTTATTTTTTTGTGGTTTCATCCAAAAGTCCAATTTGGTGAGCTGATCAAATTACTCTTTTTTTCTAGTCAATTGTTGATTTTTAAGCTCTATATATATACACCACACACTGTGTAGCTTCTTGACTACCTAAACTAAAACTTACCACTTGTAAAGTTTTCAGTTCAGGGTCTCTATAGATCGGTGGAGCAGCTGGTAAAGACTTAATCTTTTTGTCTGTCTTCTTTCAATTCAAGATTGTTTTTTTCAACCTGCTTTGTTTGAAATGAGTTGATGGGTGTTATGTTATTTCTGACTAAAGGAAATTGATGAGTGTGTTGTGATATGGGTCAGTGTTTTTGTGTGTATACCAATTGTTTTGCTTATTGTTGTGGTAGATATAGCCTGTTTGTTTGTACCTCGACTATTGTACTTAGTATTAGTGACCACCCATTAGCACAAATATCGAATAAATCTGTTCACATCTATTAGATAGATGGAAAGAAATGACCTTTAGTGGGATCTGAACTCGGTTTCTGTGTAGATCAGTTGGTTGGATATCTGAATTTTCACCTCGTTGGTGGTGAGGGCTTGATTCTCCACATTGTTATCCACTCCCTATTTCCCCTACCCCAATTTTAAAAAAATGGTTTCTTATCAAGTAACAATTATACCAGATGAAAAAGAAATTTAGTTTGCGATAGGTTGTTCAGTTAGCTTTCTAAGGAGGAGGTTATGCATTAGGTAGGGGTTGGATTTTAGTTAGTCACACTAGTCCTGTTTATTTGAGTGTTTTCTTTGTTTAGGCAGTAGCCTTTTGAGTTTCTGGAGGGAGGGGTTTACTGGGAATTTATGTGACTGAACCATAATTAAACCCACTGGTGCAGATATGTATCGTTAGGTAGATGTTGTGTATCTTTGGCGTGGTATCCGAAAGAGGATTTTATTGAAAATATAGATTGGTGCAGTATATTTGTTGGTGTGTCATTGCTAACCAATTTGAGCTGTTGTTTAAAACTCCAAGACCTCGGGATTCACTGGATGCTTTTAGTGTCTGCTTGAATTTATGGTGAATATCATCTGTAACAACATGTGTGTTGATGGTTGTTTTCTATGGTTGTTGCAATCTGGAACCTTTCTGTTTTTTCTTTTGGCGGTTGCACATTTTGATCACTATAGTGATCTTTATGTATTTCCATCACAATAATCATGGGTCTAATAGGTCATAAATAAAGCTTTGTCTTTTCATATCAGCAATAGCTATTCCCATTCAATGAATTAAAGACCTTTTATCAATTCGAAGACTAAATCACCCAATATCCTTAGACAAATCACACACTTAATGTGACGTTTTCATGACCCAAAATGAAAATTGCTTTTTTTCAGTGTGTCTAACATGTTTAATTTTAATTATGTTTATAGAATCTAAACATTCAGTGATCTTCCGTAATCTTTTCCTGGCTATATGTATTTTTTCTTTTCAGGAAGTTATTGTTCTTTGCCTGAGCTACTATTTTGGAGTTGGGTGTCTTCTTCTTAATTTAGCTTGAGAATGGAAAATCATGGAAAGAAGGTGTTGCTTACTTCCAATGGTGATGACATTTGCAATAACATTGCTTACCATTTAGCTCAGAGGGGTTGCCAGTATGTACTTTCCCTGTCTCAAACATACATAAAGTCATGCTTCTATTCATACACACATACGCGCTCGTATGTGCGCGCACACACACACTCAGAGGTTACTGTCTGTCAGATGGAATACAGTATTGGCACTCTGATACTCACATTTCGTAGGCACAATTGCTGCATAAATGACATAGCATAAACTCTAGTTAATCCTTTTGTTGATTCTACCACTTAGATTGGTTTTGATGGGAAATGAGCACCAGCTGAAGAGTGTAGCAGAGAATATAAAGCAATCTCTAAAGGGTAGCGTTGCAATAGAAGTTGTGGGATTGGATATGACGGAGGATAGAGAAACTGCTTTTGATGAAGCTGTGGGCAAGGCATGGAAGATATTTGGGAAGTTGGATTCCTTGGTACACTGCTATGCTTATGAAGGTACAACCTGACCTTTATTTCAAACAAATATTGTTATTCTTTAGATACAGAAGGATGCAAAATGACTATGAAATTGGTATTTGTCTTCATAAAAAAAGAAGTGGTATTTGTGTGTTCCATCCTGAGGTAAGGGTAAGGTTTGCATACTCTCTACCTTCCCTAGACCCCCTTGTGTGACTACACTGGGTATGTTGTATGTTGTTGTATGTTCCATCCAGTATATGGTGAACCGAAAATAATTATCTGTGAAATGTGAATGGCTAACTAATTTTGTCAAATTAATGACATAATAAAAGGTTTGGCAAATCATAGAAGATTAGGACTTAATTATATGAGCGATCTTTTGATAAAAGTAGGCCTTAAATTATGAATAATAGTTGACCTACAGTCTTGATCCTGGTTTATTAACCGATTTCAAGTCTACTCGGAGGTTTTGGCCAGAGAATATAAGCATTGGGCCATTATCAAACTGAGTGCAATCTATTTTTGGTCGTGACCCGTTAGAGCATTCTAATTCTGATATGCGATGAATTAGATCAAAATCATCTACTGTAGCTTGGAAAAGACTTGCAATTATCTCAGGGAAGCTATTATAAAAATATAGAATTCTTTTTCGACATGAAGTGAACATATCTATACATCTTATACCTTAATTGTGAAATGATAAAATATGTCAGACACTATTCGGAAATTTAATTTGCATTGAGATGATGAAATATGGCAGACACTATTCAGAAATTTAATTTGCACTGAGAAGGATATAAAAAGAAGAAGATTAAAATAGCGGATTAAACATCTGTACAAGTGTGAACTAATTGAATACAAAAAATATTGGAATGGGTAGTACATTAGGAAAAACACCTAAAAGATATCATGACCTTATCCCACATTCATTTTTAGCTGATCCTTTTGGTTTTATATCTTTTTGTTGATTTTCTACAGAGAACGCCATTTGTTAAACTTAGTTTGAAAATTTTGTATTCTTACATAGAATATTACCTGTTTGTGTTTGATAAATGCCCTCCTTTATTGTTCCATGTTGTGAAATTCTGAGCGCATGCTTGTTGTTAACTAACTTGATAAATTGAATGAAAATCCATTATATTGAAGTAATTGTAAACACCAAATAGTACTTGAAAATCTATGATTTGTGAAATTTCTTCTTCATGGATTTGAGATCAATGTACTTTCAATGTCAAGTTTCTTCTGTCTGTGGTGTAAAAATGTATGATGTTCTTCATTCATGTTTTGAGATTATTAAGTTGTTAGAAAGTGAAGACCTAACTTGGTTCTGGACTCTGGATAAACTGGTTTTCAGATCTCAAAGTCCATAGCTGTTATCATGGGGCATGTGGAAATATTTGGGCAATCCGTTGTTTCAGCTGTTTTAATCTGCTCCTTTCACTTAACTGATTTAACTTCCACCATCTTCTTAATTTTTCTCTCTTCAATATCTCAATGTTAGCAGATCAATGGTGGACTAAGCTTTGTCAATTAAGGGCAGTGTTAGTGATGTGTGTAAAGAACACTTGTTATGTGTGTCTTGAAAACACAAGCTGCAATCCCTACATCTTTAGCGAGATAAAGCACCCAGGGACTCGTTCCCAAAATCTACTTTGTATTTAATAAAAAGCTAGTTGACAAGAGAATTTATCTTAGATATGTTAGATTGAGTGGGTCCAAAGGCTTATTAACTGATCCTATCTCATACATTTGCCACCTGAGGAACTCGTTTCTTCTAGTAGCATGATTGCTTTTAGCATTATGTTATTAATTATTTTTGGTGCTTGCTGGTCTAGTGATATGGACATGCTAGTTTATAGATGCGTCATTAGGCCTTTGTTGAGAGGTGCAGCATGTTTGACATAAGCTTCTTAATACTTGTCATGCAATGAAACAGGGAAAATGCAAGATCCGCTGCAGCTAATTGATGACGAGTTCAAAAAAATTGTCAAAATAAATTTTATGGCTGGATGGTACCTGATGAAATGTATTGGTAACAGAATGCGAGACAGTAAATCCGGAGGATCCATTGTATTTATGACCTCGATCATTGGTGCTGAGAGAGGAATATATCAAGGAGCTGCTGCTTATGGTTCATGTGCGGCTGGAATTCAGCAGCTGGTTAGGGTAAGTACCTGTTCATATTCTCTTGTATATTTCGGTGCATGATCAGATCGCGTAAGACCATATTCTATAAAATTATGTGGGACAAGAGTAAACCCATCTTCATAAACATTTGATTTATTGTTTCTCCTGTCGATCACCAGTCTTTTCTGTCTAATTACTAATTTATTCTATTAGCTATTGGTTGCTTGACAGGATATGTTATATCATCCTGTACTGCATTATTTCTTTGAAGTTTTGGGAAAATTACCCAATTATGTGGAAGAAATAGTGAATTTTGGGAGGTATTATGTCGTTTAATATGATATATTAGTTTCTCTAAGTTTATCATCTTATTTCTCGAGCACTTTAAGTAGAACACACACCATGATATGTTCCCAGTTTTTCATTGGGGTTGTTGGGAAGTTCACTTAGCATGAGGAAAATATCAGCTTAAACTCTACCGATAAAGCTGCTTTAGCATCCGGAGCAATGCTGCCTCCGTTATATAACCATTTATTTTTGTCTTAAGGTATGCTTAATTTGATAATAATATGTGTGTATATACACCTTGCTCAGTTATCTGCAATTGAATTGGGGAAGCACCAAATTAGGGTGAATGGCATAATGCGTGGCTTGCACCTCGAGGATGAGTTTCCTTTGTCAGTGGGTAAGGAGAGAGCAGAGAAGTTGACCAAGGAAGCAGCGCCTCTAAATCGATGGCTTGATGCTAAAAAGGATCTGGCTTCCACTGTCATCTATTTAATCAGTGATGATTCAAGATACATGACTGGAACCTCCATTTTTGTTGATGGTGCCCAGTCTCTAGTGAGGCCGCGAATGCGCTCATACATGTGAAGTTTCTAAATTATATGTATGAATGGAGCCATAGACACTGGAATTCTATTGTAGTATTGTGTAAAAGCACAAGCATCAGGGGAAGTACTATGAGCTTTTTGGATTTTCTTCTATTGTATTTGTTTAAGTTTTCAATAAGGATGACATTCTTCTTTTTCCTCCTCATTTCTGTTGTGATTTAGCTTAAACTTTAATCTATTTTAAGTGAGAATTTGTTGTGTGTCTTGTTGGTTCATTTATTGCTGCATATTTGTATCTAGTAAACAACTAATCTGATTATAAAAACATTTCAAAATCAAGACATTATCTCTGTGTATCAATTTCAAAACCACACATGTGAGTTTGTCAATCGGATAAATTTTGCAAATAAATTAACAAGATAGGTAGAATGAATGTATACAAAATCTTGTTTAGTTTGAGAAAACTTATAAACAATTGAACACTACAAGCGAGTTTTGCCTATCTGAAAAGACTCGTGAACAATTTAATAATATATGTTGTATGAATATAGAACGAAGTCTTGCTAGTCCAACAAAACTTGTGAATAATTGGACAATATATACAAGTTTTAGGGATCGTTTGGTTGGGAACTAGTTATCCCAGGATTAACTATCCCGGGATAACTTATCCCACCATGTATATGGGATAACTTATCCCATCACTATACTAAAAATGGTGGGATAAGTTATCCCAAATATGTCAACCAAACAAGACATCTACATTTTATCCCAGGACTATTTATGTTTATCCCTCACACCAAACGAGCCCTTAGGGTATAAGATATAAAACATATTTTTAGTGTATGAAAGAGGTATAAAATATGGTAAATTCAACTAGTTTAGATGTGCTTTAGTTTTTAGGATCTGAATTTTATATAAAAATTGGTGTATCTTCACTTTGTTTTTACATGTTTGTATATATGAAATTTGTATACAATAATGTATTAATGAATGAATTGTGTATATATTATGGTAAATTTAGCAATACCATCGATCATACTAACAAAAAATGATAATATCATCAAAATGAATAAACAATATCATCATACTTAATACTTATTTCTTTTCAAAAATCTTGTTATCAAAATGCAAAGATATTAATAAAGTTTTTTTTCTTTTCCCACCCGGTTTGTTTGTATTAGAGTTTTGACTAAATTTGAATTGCACACTACAAGACTTATTTGGGAGTGATACTCCCAACATGGATTTTTTTATATCTGAGGTTCGAACCTGAGACCTCTAATTAAGGTTTTTCATATCCAAGGATCGAAACGAGACTTCTGATTAGAGTGAATAGTTCCATCTAAAATGACAAAATTACCCATTCTAATGTCGAGAAGCTTCTTTAAACCCCTTTTCTAAAACCCTACTGCAAATCTCTTAAACCTTCGCTTCCACATATTTCTTCTTCTCCTCCTCCGTTACTTGTGGAATACTCTGTTTCAGTGAGACCAAATGCATAGGCTTTCGAAGCGCTCCGTCAAATCTCTCCTTCGCAGCTCAACCGCTGCACGCTATCGAGATGTTGCTGCTCCAATTTCTTCTTCCCATTTCTTTTACCAATCGGTATCCACTTATCCCTATGCTTTATCCCATTATACCCAACTTCTATTTTAATTTTACCATTTTTCATCACTTCTTCTGTAGATTGATAATATGATCTGTGTAATATGTTTTATCTTATGGAAAATCATTTTATTGTATGAAAATAAGTGACATAAGGTAATACTTCCAATTTCTTTTATGAATCTGTGTAATATGTTTTACCTTAGGAAAGATCATTTCCCTTGTTTGGTATTTGATGAAAATACGGTATACAGTATTGTATGAAAATAAGTAACATAAAGTAATAGTATGAGGATGTGTTTCATTGATAATTTGCATATTAAAAGTTGAAATAGTGTATAAGTATTGGTTAAAACAGAGTTGGTGTATTTTCAAAGTATATTTTGCTATGTATGTTTTATTGTAAACCAGAAATGGACTTGGAAATGGGTTGAGTGAAAGGAATTTACTGATATGAACAGGCGGATGCTGATAGTAAAGGTAGATGGTATTCAGTATTGACTTCAGGAAGAAGTGATGTCATTGAATCCACAAAGCCATTTAAAACAAGAAATGAGCCTTTTTTGGGTTGCCGATTTGAGTCAACAGCTGCGGCATCTGATGCATCTGACTCACCATCTGAGAAGTTTGAGTATCAAGCAGAGGTAAAAGTCACTATGAAAGAGTCAGGATAGTAAAGCTGAATAGTGTACTAGATCTTTGGAAACCTGAAAATTTATTTTGTTAACATGGCAGGTCAGTCGCCTCATGGACCTTATTGTTAACAGTCTGTACAGCAACAAGGAGGTTTTTCTTAGGGAGCTTATCAGGCAAGTAATTGCTAACTTTCTCTTTATTGTTTATAACCCCCGAACTTATATATTTCATCAGTGACCTTTGCGAAAACCAGTGTTCATAAAAGTGTTTTTGTATGCCATGCAGCTTTTATAACAGTGTTTTTTTGTTGTGAAAAGTTTTCTCCTCCATTCTAGATTTCTATTGCAAAGAGGAGGGTATCACAATTAGAGTCAGTTCTGGATAAAAGTACGAATCCAAAAACAATATGAAGTTCAGATTTTACTATGACAACTTAAGATTCAGCTACTTGGTTTTCTGCGGAAGGCTAATTTATTGCCTCGTAATACTTGGTCATTGGATTATACCTGGCCCTGTAAATCTTAATGCTACCAATAATCTGCCAGCACTCTCCGTTAGTTGATATTATGTGAACTCTGGAGATCCTATTTGTGTTAAGAATGAAGTCACTAAACAAAGGAATTAAACAATCTATATTGATACTTACATAGTTCCTGTTTGATGATGCAGTAATGCAAGTGATGCCTTGGACAAATTGAGGTTTCTTGGTGTTACTGAGCCTGAGCTTTTGAAGGATGCAGTTGATCTTGATATTCGCATCCAAACCGATAAAGAGAATGGCATTATTACAATAACGTGAGCTTCATAACCTATTAACTGTCTATTTTTGCTGTCTTGTTTGTCCATCACAGATGTGAAGTTGTCATGGAATATGGTGTTGTACAGGGACTCAGGAATTGGTATGACTCGCCAAGAACTTGTTGACTGCCTTGGCACTATTGCACAAAGTGGAACTGCAAAGTTTCTAAAGGCTCTGAAGGTGCGTTTCTGTCATGTAATTATCTTTCTTAGTATTTTGCTTCATATCAGCTATATATAATGTTTTGTTACATGTGTTTTTACCACATAACAGGACAGCAAGGATGCTGGTGCTGACAGCAATTTAATTGGTCAATTTGGTGTTGGATTCTACTCAGCTTTTCTTGTTTCTGAACGAGTATGTTTTGTGTCTATGGTCTTACTTTAGACTTCCTCTCAATTTTTTGACAATAAACAATTACCTTGATACATTTGTATCTCTCTTTTAATTTGCTAATGAAAGGTTGAAGTCTCAACAAAAAGCCCAAAGTCTGACAAGCAATATGTCTGGGTTGGAGAGGCCAATTCTAGCACATATACCATTCGAGAGGAGACTGATCCTGCAAAACAACTTCCTAGGGGAACCCGTCTCACTCTATATCTTAAGGTTGGTGAATCAATTTGTTTCAAAGGAAAACTTCTTATTCTAGTTATTTTAGTTCCTGAGGACTGTTCTTTTTGTTCCTGTTTGGTATATGTGCAGAGGGATGACAAAGGATATGCACATCCGGAAAGAGTAGAAAAGCTTGTGAAAAACTACTCACAGTTTGTTTCATTCCCTATTTACACATGGCAAGAGAAGGGATTTACAAAAGAGGTATACGGCCATGAGTTATGCTTGGGGTTCTAATTTTTAGCTTTACGCCTTGTGTAAACTTGATATGACTCCTTATTGCCTTGTGGTTACATGATCTTGGCTTTTTACAGGTTGAAGTTGATGAAGATCCAGCAGAAACCAATAAGGAAGGACAAGATGAGACAGCTGAGGTATCTGTTAATAGTACCTATCATGGGGGGGGGGGGGGTAGCATTGTTGATTCTTTTTTTTTTTTTGAGGAAAGGTTAAAGAAGTGTCTTTCTTGATTCTACTGTTGTCTTTTCCCATTTCTGATGAAATTTCCAACTCTCTGCAACAGAAAAAGAAGAAAACTAAAAAAGTTGTGGAGAAATATTGGGACTGGGAGCTTACAAATGAGACTCAGCCAATATGGGTTAGCCTTCAGATTACTATCTCCTGTTGCCATGCTCCAAAAGTTTGTTTTTACTAATATACTGAGTCATTGCTTTTCCTTTTCCAGCTTCGAAGCCCTAAGGAAGTGAGTAAAGAGGAGTATAATGAGTTCTACAAAAATACTTTCAATGAATATCTGGAGCCTCTTGCTTCTTCACACTTTACAACCGAGGTACTAAAAACTTCTTTGATGCAGAATGCCTTTAGTTAGAATATTCTACTACTTCACCTCTTCTGTTTTAATTCTAGTATGATATCTTTTATTTGATGATAATATTGAAGGTTAAGTTTCAATTTTGTTAAACAACTCTCCTGGTTCTTTTGTTTTTTCTTTTTTTTGTGTTTGTTACTTCATTTTGTCTTTTGCTTTTGCTATGCAGGGAGAAGTGGAGTTCCGGTCTGTACTTTTTGTGCCATCTGTATCTGGAATGGGCAAGGATGACATGATAAATCCCAAGACAAAGAATATAAGGCTATATGTGAAGCGAGTTTTTATATCTGACGACTTTGATGGTGAACTGGTAAGATGAAGCCTTATTGTTATTTTTTAAGAGAAGTTCAATGCTCTAAATGGGAGCTGACTGGTCTGCCTTTTCTTTGGTATAGTTCCCACGCTACCTGAGTTTTATCAAAGGTGTCGTTGACTCAAATGATCTTCCACTTAATGTATCACGAGAGATTCTTCAAGAAAGTCGCATTGTAAGTGCTTCAGGCATACTATTCTTTTTGAGGCAATGGTCCATTTATCATTTGCATGTTTAAGCTTTCTTCTGACAAACTGTTTCATGTTGGTTGTAAGGTTCGCATCATGAGGAAGCGGTTGGTGCGGAAAGCATTTGAAATGATTCAGGGCATTGCTCTCAGTGAAAACAGAGATGTATATTCACTTCTCAAGTCCTTGTGTCTATGTCTTTAGCCTTGTATATTTGTTGTGAAAACATTTATTTAGAGTGAATATTTGTCTTTTCCTGAAAGTTGTTGTTACCTTCGAT